CCCTCACTGTTTATATATTTTTTATCTGTCCCTCACAAGATTTTATTTTCGAAATTCAGTTTTGCGGCAGCTTCAGGGATAGCACTAATTCCACTCTAAAAAAAAAGTAGTAACGATGCCTCCAAAATGTGCCTTTAACACTCCTAATTACAATATATATGGGGATGTGGCGATTTGAAATGTGAAAAAAAGAAACATTGAAAGTTTTTCTGGGGATCATTCATGCTCCTCTCTGCCCTCGTAATGCTGTTCTTGTCGCTTGGGTGCCTCTTTGTTGTTATTATAATCCTCGTTGTTTTTCTTTTTATCCTGTCCCTCTTGAAAAAATGGTTTGCGATTGGTGTTGTTTTTGTGATGAGTAGTTCCGATGCATTAGATTGTTCTCCTCTTGGTGAAATTGGTTCTGGTGGGGCTTTTGCATTTTTTTTCCTTTTTACCCTGCGTGCCCCTGTTGCGTACTTTTCGAAGTAATTGTCCCGACAACGAGGGTTATGTTATCGTATCTCTCTTATTGGCTAGCCTCCGAGTGGTTTTTGTTGGCGGTTTTGTGTTATTGCCTTAATTTTATGGGTGTTTTGCTAATGGCGTTTTTTTTCCTCATATATATTCATTGTGTGTACGTTTCTCAAATTTTGGGCTGCATCTAGCTATGTGTATTGTGTCACCGTTTTTTTTTGTTGGCCGTCAATTTTGCTTGTGTAATGGTATGCTGACTGTGTGTATTCTGTTTGCATTGTGGTGGTTAGTCTTGTTTTTTTTTTAGATGGAGTAGTTTGTTGTGGTTAATTATTAGTATTTCTTTTTTATATCTACTTCCCTGCTTATGTTGCGCCTTTTTGTCATCTCATTACAAAGAATTCCTTTCTGTTTTTCTGATCCCTATGAGTTGTGAAGAGTTTTGGAATTTTTTTTGCTAGTGCTCTTTTTTTTTAGGGAGATATAGTTGTGTGGCTCCCTTCTTTTTCAGTATTTTATTTCTATTTTCCAAAATATCATGAGAAAACATTCTGTTCATTATTGCTGTTGTTTTGTCTCAGCTTGTAATATAATAGTGTTTAATAAATAAAACATGCCATTCTTCGGTGCATCAATTGTTACAGTTGCGGTTGGCCTCGCTGTGGAACTTAAAATTGTGTAGGTAGAAAGTGCACGCCTTTCTATTATTTTGAATTTTTTGCGTTAGTCGGTTTGGACATTAAAAGAATAGATTTTTTTCTCAAGTGGTTTTTTTTTTGAGCCTTGTGGTAATGGCTACGGGGGATAGTCTTTTGTAACTTTGAGGTGTCTTGAGAGAGCTGCTCTTTTTTGCTGGTGGTTTTTTTTCTTTGCTCATAATCTGAAATCCTCGATGAGCGCCGTCATGAGTGGCGAATTGAATTTGCGATGTAATGGTTTTCTGGGGCTGGGCTGGTGCGTGTGTTTTTTTTATGTCAATAAGTGCGTTTGGGGAATTGGGTCACTTTTAGGCGGTTTACGTCCACGAATCATCATTACTGGGGGCCAATGCATGGAGTAAGTAGCCTTACTTTGTTACTTCTGTCAACGCCCTTCAACCATTTGTATTTTTGATTCCGGCACCTTGGAAAGACCCGAGTATAACATTCCAGAGCTTTGGACCTTCATGGGGCCATCGGAAGCTCTCTCACTGAAGAAACTTATCATTTGTGCGTATGGTGGTTAGGGAGCTCTTTGTTATTCGTAAATTATGCGAAATCAGTCTTTGCATTGGGGGTGTTATACTTCTTTTTAATAGTTATTATTTACTAGCTTCGCTCTTGGATACCAATACATAGCTATGTTTTTGTATTATTATTGTTTTTTAACCTCTCCCAAAATATGAAGATGTGCGACTTTGGAACTGCCTTTCATCCCATATTTTGCGAGAGAACGAATGTTCATCAACTATCGACAGCAGCTTTTGAGGTAAATAGCAGAATGGGTTTTCTTGATTGCTTACAGGAGTCGCTGTTGCTGTCGTCGAGGCAGCGGTAGATGCAAAATATATCATATGCAGCTTTGCTGTTTTTGATTTATTTGCTTCTTGTTTGTTTGGTTGGTTGAAGTGTCGTATGAAGGCATTATTTTGGAAATTATAGACGCTGCTCTGCGAGAGTTTCTCGAAAGCCAATATGATACATTCCTTGAAGCATTTTTTTTCAAATTGAATTGTTAGTGGGTATTATCTTCGCTTAAGTGCATTCAAAGCGCGTGGGTGTTTTTGGTGTTTTTAAACTTTGAACGCGCTTTCACGCACTTCACCTTTTTCTTCTCGGAGCTCGGGCCTTTAACGCCTCCAATAAAAAGAGTGACAATAGATGAAGTTGCGAAGTCTTTTTTTTTTAGTGTTTGTGTGTTTACTGCTACTTTAGGTTTGCTTTTTGCGGCGAGTAAGATTGTCATTTTTTTTTTTATTTTGAAATCTTGTAGCGATGTTTTTGCGAAGCTGATTATGTGTTTATTTGGGTATTTGCGTGTGTGTGTGTGTGTGCGCCCAGAGTGAGGAAAGAGTTTCTCTGTTTGTGAGTATAATTAGTAGTTCTTTTTTTTGTGTGTTTGCAGTTTTTTTTGTTTTATTTTCCAAAAGCAAAACGGGGAAATACAGGGGGGCATGAATAGCACCGTTTCATCTAAAAACAACAATTTATCTTCACTTAGAGGATGTAAAGGCGAAAATCCATTGAAAGTTAGCACGGCAAGAAATGTGCTACAGGAAAATAGTAGCTTTGCTGCATTCGTAGATCGAATGCATGCTGTTAATCGGGTATTTCTAGTAAAAAAGAAAAGAGAATCGGAGGTGGAGACGGTGTCGTGTCCTGTTCCGGTGGATATTGACGCCGGGGCCGAGGCTCATTTGGCTTACGTTGATGCCGAGTCAAAGTGGCTAGACTGCTGTTTGCGAGAGTTTCTTGAAAGGAGATCCAGGCATGGAGCAAGCGGTCGCTTCCTCCTTCGTTTGTTGGTAGCGTTAGTGACGGTGTTGGGAGTTTTGTGGTATAGTTGGCCCCTGTGGGAATGCCTCATCGATGTGGAGGCGGAGGTGCACTATAGAGTTCTTGGAATTTCTCCTGCTGCCCAACCAAATGAGATAAAGCGTGCGTATCGGGAGGCTGTTAAGCGCTGGCATCCTGATCGAAATCCAAACTGTGATTCTTGTCGTGCTCAGATGCTAAAAGTGCAACAGGCACATGATGTTTTGCTGGCCCGAGGGAGTAAACGATTTGAATTGGCTGAAAAATATAGAGAAGAGCTTTTCCAACTCCGTTCTTTGGTGTTCTTTCGTTTGTACGACATGGCGTTTTATGCAGCTCAAGAGTTGTATTACTTGATCCGAGGAAATTGGATGAGGCGTGACGATGATCAAAAAGGTTTTGCTTTGTATCTTCAAGTGGTATGCCGGATTTTGACGATGGGATTGTTTACAACGTATGAGTTTTTATACGTTTCCGGTTTTAACGTTGTGGTGATTCTTCAGGTGTTTTATTACTGCGTCTCTGTGACTAGGATATCTGTGGCAGAGCGAGAGATGTCAAGAATGGTAAAGCATTCTTATTTTGATTTTTACCGAGAAGCCGTGACGTTCGTTGCTATACCTCTCTTGCTTCATGTCGCCCAACGACTCAGCGGGAAAGCGGAGGATTCTGGAGAAGATGGATTAGAATTTGTCTTTCGTCTGTCGTTTGGTATCCTATATGTTATGTCTCACTTGTATCGGATGACTCCAAATCTGTGGGACAATTTTGCCATGAGAAAATGCTCTATCCCGCTTAATTATCTACGACTTCCCGCGAAAACCATTAGACTTCAAGGCTTTTTGTTTACGGAATTGGGGATCATATTGGATGACTTGTTTGCTTTTACGTGTCGAGTGCCTTCCATATTTCGTCTCACGGTTATCGTCGTGCATGCCATATTTTTGTGTGAGCTCGCATGGCTTCCGCATGATGCTCCAGTGACCGTGGTCTTGGGTCGGCAATATGCAGAGAAAAACATGAAGGGAAAGAGGGAGACTGCAAAGAAAAGCCTAACGGAAAAAACCGGAACTAAAGGGACGTTAAGTCGGGATGGCGAGCGCGAAGTTCCGGAGCCCTCTCCGCATTACTTGTCCAAAGAGGAACGTGCTCTTGTGGAAAATTTGGACGATGAACCAATCACTTGGCTTGACATTGTGAGTACCAAGTATAAACGTAGGATGGATTTTGCTGTGGCTGCCTGCATGCGTCAAAAGCAGGGTGCCATAACGTTTGATCTTGCACCAACTTCAAATCTTCAGGAGGTTGTTTTTGTAAGTATTGCGCGAAGCTCCGCTAGTACGCCGGTAAAAGTGGATGTACTCTTTCGTGCGAAGGATGAAGTGTGTAGTCGTCTTTTGGCCCTACAGCGGGGCCCCTTCGGGTGTATTCCATCGGAGCCATCTGAAAATGGAAGTCCGACTTTAATTGCTCGGAGGTATGCCAAGATAACTGGAAAAGAAGGCCATTGCAGCCCTTCTGAGATATGGGGCTCGAAACTCTCAGCTGCCAAGTTAAACGCCGAAGATGATGGCGCAGTCATCTTGATTGCCTTCATACTTGTCTCGCTTCTCTGTGTGGCGGCATTTGCACAAAGGTTGCCGGTAAACGAGTATCTGAGGTATTCAACTGATCTTTCTTACTTTCATCAGCCACTGCGTGACACATGGCGAAGGTTTCTCCCTATGGAGCAGCTACTCAAACAGAGTGGTACTGGTTTAGTCACCGTTTTTGGCCATATATTCTGTTTTGTGGATGTTTTAGATGCACTCAAGCACATGTACTTTTAACATTGAGGTGCCTTTTTCCATTCCCTTTAGGTGCCTGCATCTGCGTATGTGAAAAGATGAGAATAAAAAAACGGAGAAAAAAAAGCCTCTCACTCGAAATGTCTTCGCAGAGCCTTGTTTCTTATATATTTGTTTACCGAATTTCCTATATTATTTCATTGTTTTTCTTTTCTTTTTTCTTACGGAATAATGTAAAAAAAAGGAAACAACGAAAGAAAAAGTGTGGCTAGATAAGTTGAGCTGTAGAAGTATAGATCTATGGCTGTGCCACCAACGCCAGCAAACGGAGGTGCTGAGCATCCTCCCCAGAATTCGATGTGGCGGACAGGTCTTCTTTATGGAATAGTGGCTCTCCTCATGTTCTCTTCTCTCGGCACTAAAGACACCGGTCGCGCCAAGAGTAGTGGCGAAGCACGGTTGAGCGGAGGAGATCATGATGGAGCAAAGCAAATGAGCTTACAATACACTCCCTTTGCCAAAAGAGGCGACTCGTACTCCATTATTATTACATCTGGCAATGATGGTGTATTTGCGGAGGACATATTTCAAGATCTTATTCTGGATGATAACACTCGCGACGTGTCACGACAATACACCGTTGATTTGCGCCGCTGCCATGCTGAAAACCGCAGCGTCAGCCTCACCATTAAAACAAGCAATCCCGTGGAAGGGAATACGTTCAGGAGTTTCCCTTAGT